ACTTAGAAGGGCCATAAGTGAGTCCTTCCATAAACACGGTGACCATAACTGCCTCTTGCACATGCTCCATTGCCATTCTGGCACGAAGCTCCCGGAGCTTCTGTCCGTAGTCGTACAATTTGCCGTTGTCTTGACTGCACGACAGAAAATTCAACCATTGTCGAATCGACACATTCGTTGAAAGGAGCATCAATTCCATGACCTTTTTCAACCTTTGCCATGTGGCAACGTATCCAGGAAGGCTGACTTTCTACGTCATTGCCAATCCTTCATACGGCCATCCAACTGAGACATGGTAAAGGCCACTTGAATAAGGTCAACACGAATTTGTGCCATCGTGATAGCGATGTTCGCCAGAACGCAACAATTATATCTTCGTTTCCGTGAAAGCTTTCCACTTAGATCTTAACGGAACATTCTGTGTGTCATGCCACTTGTGGAGGAGGTGACAGAGCCAGAGTCGGTAGGCTTTGCAATAGAAATCTCAATAAAGCTTGCTCATACGCAACAAAATATGTGAAGCGTTGAGTTATCGCTTCTTGAATTAATTATAGCATATCGGAGTCCGCGTGATCTCTGATAAAAGCTTGCAGCTTAATCGCACACTCTCATTGCGTATGTGTTAGGAGCGAATATTTCTCCATGTTGGTCCGAGGACGACCGCCGCCTGCGCCACCTTCTATCTATAAAGGTTTTACGTCTCATCAAGACTTAGTGAGAACACGCAATCAGCGTCGTCCAGTGTTCCCACTCCCTGCTCCATCGGAGCCTTGATGATATTAATAACATCCAACGAGGGGCTGCTACCTCCGCAGTCTTTGTTTATTGGATAACGTGCCATTCCACGCGCATCTGGAGGGCCTCGGCCTCGATGCGTCGAACCTCGTCCGACCATGCCACTCTTGGCATGTAGCGACTGCTGCAATAATTGAGCTGTGCTCAGTGGGTTTCGAGCCACTCCATGTTCAGGCCGCGAGCCATGCTCGGGATTAATGTCTGAGACACCTTTGGTAGTCGACAACTCGGATTGTCCGATATCCAGCACATTGATCGTTCCGGTCCAGTGCCCGCGCCGATTGCGCTTCTACTTTCTAGCGGAGGTGGTATCGTGACTCGCCAAAATCCGCCAGGTGACATGGGCGTAGCGCCCAAGGTCTTCGACCTCCAATCAATCCATGGGATATGGTGTTTCAACCATGCCATTCCAGATGTTAAGGTCATACCTTGAATCCAAGTCGAAAACTAAGCAGCGCCTTACGCAAACAAAGTCAAGAAACGTGACACCAAAATCCATAGGGACCCTCGGCACAGTGACATTAGTCCCCGTCGCTAAGCGAACAGTGATGGAGTCACTCAACCGCGTTTCCAGCGACTCAGCATACAGCTGACTTCATTCGATTGTGAAGCGTCGAGCATAATTGCCCGACGCCCAGGAATCGAAAGGATCTCCCTTTACTTCTCAAAGCCCTTCACGGTCGCTTTCTGGACCAGCAAGCCCAGCTTGCATACACGTTTTGTATTCAAGAGCACTGAGCTCTTCGGGGCTGGTCCTTGCTGCCTTCTACCTCTTTGAGACTCAACAGGGCTCGATTTCTCCCCAGTAGGGCGTCCCTCGCCTACTGGGTGTTCTCAATAACACACGGCAAACCGGACAGGGTAGACGCGGAACATCGGTTCGATGAACTTTTACGCGCCTTGCGCAGGGGAGAACCTGTCCCAAGGTGACGGGTGTCAAACCGCTGCTCGGCAGCTCGGAACTCTCCCTCCTCCTTCTCAGCATAGCTGAAATCCATTGGTTAGGCCCGCTCGACAAGCTCTGAAGGTGTGCATTCCAACCAGTCGTGCCGACTTGCAGTTGAATTTGGCATTTAATGCTGTGTTCATGCTATATCAAAAGAAGACGGGTGCACACGAAAGTCTTCCATTTTGGCCAAGCCAGTGTTGGAGGCCCTCCATAAAGACGGTCACTGCAACCGTGTCGAGGAGAGCATTGGTTGCCATCCCGTCAATGAGAGCTCTTAAAGTCGACCATCTCATTCTTGCCCTGTCGGGCAGCAAGGAAACGCAATCGCACGCGATATGTCTGGTTAGGCGGCGAGAGCAGTCGCAAAAGCTGACACTTTTTGCTACTTCCAGCAGGGGAACGCAGCTTTGACCGAAGCACCGCACGTAAGTGCCCATTCTTGCGCTCAACACCTGAGCTTAGAGATAGCTAGCTCCACGCGCTGTTGTTCGTTCTGGGGCATGGCGGATGCCATAGCCATCTCGCCTCTCTCACTTAGAGCCGGAGATTCTCTCCATCCTTATCCTCGAAGGTCTTAACGCTCAACATGAGCGGCCTGGTTTGGGAGGAATCATCCGTCGTCAATGGTGGCGTCATCGAGGCAGTCGACGCTGACAGCTTCTTCTATACGTTCTTTTTTATGATTTGAAAACGCCTTACTCATGAAGTGTGTCGATGAATCAAGTGGTGCCTGGAACTGGCCACTTGAAAACGAATATTTTGTTGGTGGGCATGGCGATTTGTTCAACGGAGTAAGTTTATACCGATTGGTGCGCGTCTCAAAACAGAAGTTTGTTGTCGTCATGTCATTAAATATAGTCGAAGGAAACGACTGGGGCCGAATATGCCAATACTCCTACTAATACAGTGGTTGAGTCGGATTATGGGTCAGTGCGTACAACTGACCACATAGGCAATGCTCACACCCGTTTTGTGGTTGAGCACATACACACATGTGAAGGAATCAACGACATTTGTTGATCGCGGTACTGATACCCCCGCACTGGATGCGGTTGAGCCGCCAATGAGTTAGTTCAACGTACTGTTTCACATGATGGGAATGTAGCATGCAAATATGCTGGTCCACGTATTGTGGGTGCAAC